TCACGAGGGTGACAATACCGTCTCATGTGTGCAGACTGCTGGAACATGACTGTTACGTAAGGGGATTGGCAGGGCAGGGAGGGACGGGCAGGGGGCAGTAAACAGAGTTCTAGACAATTCATCTTTCTTCTCTGATGGTTACGCTAAGTATTCTAGAAAGTACTTTCTCCTCTTTCTTTCTTCTCAACACTTCCCTCTTCCTCCCTCCATCCCCCAATGTTTCCCTCTTATCTCCCAGAGAGCCCAAGATAAAGACATATGGTCAGCCTTGGTCAAGGAAACAGATTCCTCCCTCCCCAGTAGAGGGTGTGACCAGTTGTGTCTGGTCTGGAGCACTAAGGTATTTTGGCAACTGCTTTTTTTTGCTGGGAATTGGTCCTCTTTTTGGAATGTGCTTTGCTTCTCAGTTTATGGGACTTCAGGTCCTCACCTCACAGGACACAGTTCAATCTTCACTGTTCAGTCAACCATTTACTTCATGACAGTGGAGAAATGATTAGTGAAGTTGTAGTTAATAATCAGTGTACCAATGTAGGTATTTAGCCGTTGCATGGGAATCTGGAGTTTCTAGGGTAGATTTTCCTTCCCAGATAATGACTTTATCCCTTATATCAGGAAACAAAAATTAGAACTGGCACAGTTAATTGATGTGGGCCTGGAAATTATACTATATACATTATCTGTATGTTTCATTTTCATCAAGAGAATTCATCATCTTACAGAATAAAAAAGGGTCAGAGGAAATTGAAAATATTAAAGATTACTAGGGAAAATGATCTTTAGATGCCTGTTAGGAAGGAACAAATTACCTTAGTTTCCACAGCATCTAAAAAGGTTTGGGGGCACAGTTCACATACGGCACCAGGGAGTAAACCCTTCACAGTGCAATGTGTGGCAGTTATGGAATTATGGAATTTATACCGTAACCAGAACATATAAATGGAGACGCACCATGAGTCGGTGTCAGAATTAGGGATTAGGTGAAGCTTAGAAACAAATGACTGTGAGGAGACAATCCGACCTATATTCCTTGAGTCGATAGTCTCAAGAACAGCAGTCGACTAAAGGTGCCATCATGCACATTGAACTCTAAAATTTCTAAGAATGAAAATAGGAACACACCATAAAAGCATTATTTTTTCCTTGTTGAAGTCTATACTGAGTACAGACACTTTCTTATCTAAGCATTTATGGGTACATTTGCAACGGAGCAAATATTCCCCCATTAAGCCACATCTCTTGGCAAACTTAACACTCTGTTGAAGAACTGCTCTTATGAACCATCCTGTGTCAGCAATGAGGCTAAGTGGTTCCCATTTATCTATATTTGTAGTTAAGCTTAGAGAAAGTTCTCGCGGAGTGTTCACTTGTCCCTAGCACCTTGTTGGAGACATAAGGGAAATGAATTCATGTCTCCTGTACTCAAGGAGTTGGCAGTCTTACTGAGGATTTAGGATTGACATGTATTATTGAAAGAGTAAGTAATGTAAGTCAGTTTGCTCCAGGTCAGAAAATATCTTACAGATACTAAGTCAATGGTTCTCAAATATGAATGTGCATGAAAAGTACGCAGGGAGCCAACTAAACATAAAGCCACAACAGGGCAGGAAATCTGTACCTTCGTCAGGCGCTCCAGGTTATTTGGATGTAGCTGGCCCAGTAAGGCTCTTGGGTGGGTGCATGGAGAGTCAGGAACTGCCAGGATGGGTCTACAGAAGGCCGCGGATTTGAGATGAGTTGACAAGTCACACTTCAAGGATTGGTGGGATTTAAAAATAGATAAGGGAAGCTTATTCTTGGAAGAGGGAAAGTCCTGAAGCAAAGCACCAATTTGGGAGCAAACGTGGCGTAAGAGACACCCAGAGAACAAGGCTGGGGCAAGCATGTAGGATAGCCACCTAGAAACTGGTTTCCACTCCCTTCAGGGTGATTGTCTACACAACTTACTTATTTACTTGTCCTGGACAGTCTAACCTCTTTACAAAGCTACTCAGAGCACATAAGGAAGGGGGCTTTCTTTCTCCGTATACTTGAACCTGAGTCTCACGTGTCTTGTTCAATCCTAAGGCTCAAGAAACATAAAAAAAAAAAAAGCAAACCCTAGAGCTACGACTTCTAAGCTGACCGAATCATGTGCCTTTGTACAAATGCTAGATCGGATGATTTGGTGTTGAGTGTCACGTTGACAGTCATTATAGTAGACGTATGACTAGCACACACACGAGAATCATTGCCTTTGGAGCCAGAAAGAACTGGATTTAAATCATCACAATATCACAGAGTACCTGGGACATTTTACTTGGCCTCTTTGAATTTCAGTTTCCAAATCTATAAAAGAGAACTAATTATAACGATACCTACCATATCAATACCTTGTATCGGGTTTTGAAGATTAAATGCAGTGGTGAGTAAACTCCCCGGCACAAAGCAGACAACTGTAAATGAGTGAATAATGTTTATAATAGTCTTATATTTGTAAAGAGCATGTTTTATAAGAATTAATCCATGATTGCACATGGTGTAATTCATCTTAGGTCAAACAGGTAAAACAGCACAGCTGTGATGTATTAAGCGAGACTCATGTTTTTCTTGCTTAGGTGCCAAGGAGGCGGGTGCAGTGTGACGATGGCAGGCCTAGGTAGCAATGCGATGTGGCTTGAGGGGCACCCTCAGATATGTTTCTAAGGGGCCCAGAGTCTCCCATTAAGAGGGTCGTGCCCTGGTGACCGGGGGAGAGGGTGCCACACACGCATGCTGGGCGTGAATTATCCCTCCAGCCCCCTGATCCGTGTGGGGGGCACGGAGACCGGCTAGACACAAGGGAAAGGCTGAGCCATTAGCATCAAGGGCACCCGCAGAACCATGGGGGGGCCCGGCCTCCGCCCACAGGACCGCCCTGCAGCCCCAGCCTGGTGAGAACAGCAGAAAGAGAGAGAAGGCGGCATGGAGGCGCCAAGCGACGTCGAGTTTTCCCTTCATCCTTGTCTGGGTTGGGTGCCACTGTCCCCTCATTTCTGTTAAATGTCACACAAATGCCTTCTCATTTTGGGTGTCATCTCATAAAGTAAAATCCTCTAAGGTAAGAAAGTGGGGCTCAAATGGTCTCACCAGGTGGCCTAAGGGAATTTAAGAACAGAAATGGTTTCTTAAAGAAAAAAAAAAGCATCCAGTGAACTGTACAGGGTGTTACATAGGAAAAAAAAGAAGTGTTGAGACGGTCTTGAGTAACTCTGTTCCTTTAACGTGTTTTTTTTTTTAACACTTTTTAGTATTATTGATCACTATTTATTACTATCATTTGTAATTACCGTCTCTCTCTTTTTTTTTTTCACCTGAGAAATTCAAGATATAATGTGCCTTTCTGGTTTGGAGACTTTTTTCCTGTTTACTCTGCTGATTTCCCTGAATCACTATGTGTTATGTATCTTTAGAAATTTAGACAGAGGGGAAAAAAATGCTTCTTCACCTACATTTAAAAAAAAGTAAGTGTTGGCAAAAGAATTATTTTCTTTGTAGGAAAAGAAAGCAGAGTTCCATTAGTGTGGAATCAGAAATAAGGTCTCAAAGCCAACTAGAGACAGCATCGGAGCAAGGTTATTTATGCCAAGAGAAAGTGACTATAAATTACAGAAAGAAAGAAATGTGTTCTGTTGACACCTAGGACTGGGTGCTTAGTAGTTGTTTAATTGAAGTATATTGGGTTATTAATTTACATTATAATGAGAAACAAACCGGAGTCCTTATTAAATGTATTAAAATATATTAATATTACTTATATTATTAATTAATTATATAAAGTATATGATAATATATAATATAATTATTAAAATATATCCCCCAAATCACTATCATAAATGTCCCCATCTTCACATTTGTGCTTATACACACGTACACCCCCCCCCCGGAATCACCCCGTGGGTGGCCCCCATGACTCATCTCTGTGCAGATTTCCCGTTAATTATCTAGTCCATATCAGCACAGAGCATCAGCTCAATCCTGAAGGAGTAGAACCAAGGAGGGTTTTAAAAGGCTTGATAGGGGATCCCCGGGTGGCTCAGCGGTTTAGTGCCAGCCTTCAGCCCAGGGCGTGATCCTGGAGACCCCGGATCGAGTCCCACGTCGGGCTCCCTGCATGGAGCCTGCTTCTCCCTCTGCCTCGGTCTCTGCCTCTCTCTGTGTCTCTCATGAATAAATAAATAAAATCTTAAATAAAATAAAAAGGCTTGATGGTAACTTTTGGTTTGCTGTCAAAAGAGGCAATAGGGTTCAAGAAATACACAGAACTTGGCTTTTAAACGGTGAATAAATCATTTTGCAGCTGCGAGTGGTACTGGGGAGGAAATGCTGCTCAACAGCAGGAGCCGTGTTATCCACCTCTTGAACGAGAGCCGAGAATTCCTGAATGAGAGAGGTCAGGAGCTCCTCTCTGAGCCAGGCTTCCCGTAGGCAGTGTCGAGGGCTGGCTCAGTGCGTTATCTGAGAAGCCCTAGAAAAATACACCTGTACCAAGACCCTTTCCTTTCACGCTGCCATACATGAAGCTCCTAGTACGGGAATTGCTGTTTCAATTCACACCCTGCAAGCGCACCGGAGGCAGCCGGTAGAGACGCCCAAGGTACCACCCAAGCACAGAGACCGAGAGTCAGGGAACGTCAAGAGGGGCAGAGGGGCTGCAGTGTAGACAGACCCAATTTACCTCCCAAGGCTGCCTTCCCCTAGATACGGCCGGTAAGTGTTCTAGCCAATGTGAACAAATTAAATAAAGGAAGAAAAACTGTATCTTTCAAAAAGCCGCACCAGCAAGTAGCATGTGATTTCTTGCAAACACTCTTGGGCTTATCTCTCCATGTTAATTGTGACAGTAAAACAATAAAAATCAAGATTTAATTTTAACTCATGTTGATCTGTCTAGCGCAGGAAATGGTGATGATGGGCTGGAGAAATATTAATCCACATTGGTTATTTAACGTCTGCCTTATTTTGAGGAGAGCACTGTCAAAGGCTCCTGCTCGGGACAATGAAAGTCTTCAGTTATATTTTAGTTTATCGCCGGTTTCTCCTTATAGTTCTCCCTCCGTTGGTTTTACTGCCGCTGCCAATCATCGTTCGCACCAAGGTGAGTGAACCTGGAGAGGAGGCTGATGGCTTTCCTGGGTTATTTCGTTGTCCCTTATTGTTTTTGTGTGATGGCCCAGTTCAGAGCTGAAGGGAAGGTGCTGCTTCCAGCTGAAGTCACGATGGTCATGCATTGGGTTTTTCTCCTTTTTCGTGGTTAATGTTGACCGATTCTCAGTATGACTAACTAGAATAATTAAATAACATACTCAGTCAGAATTGTTCTCTGCCTGGCAAGTAGTTGAGAGGAAGAGCAAAAGCAGCACATCGCTTGGGACCTTCCCATTCCGGTCATCAATCTCCAAGGAGATCCTGGATTAGCACCAATCCGTGCCCTGCGCCCCGGCAGCCGTGCGATACGGGGAAGAGCTGGAAAAGCAACCGGGAGCCCCAGGGTCTAGCACAGACTAATTTACATGTCAGCTCCCTGGCTGGTGTGGGCCACCAAACCCCCGAGAAATATAGTTTCCTTATGGGATGAGACAACATTGAAAGCACGAAGCAATTTTCCTCGGTTAATCGGAAAATTAAGTTATTGCACCATGTTCTGATCATCTGAGATGTTATTTCATTTTGGCGTCCTTATAAGCATTTTTCTGTTTACTTTTAAGTAATAGTCTACTAGTCTGGAACAATAAACCCAAGACATTTTTAATTCCATGGTAAAATGATTTGAATCAGCAAACAGTGAGCATTCTTTGTGCCAGGCATGAGCATGATGACTGTCAGTTGGCACAAGGACAACCCCTGGAGCTAGGCTTTCTGCGTCAGGTCCCAGGTCCTCCACTTGTACACAAGCTGAGGGACCCGGGCACACCAGCTAACTTCCCTACTCTTCTATTTTCTTATATGTAAGATTGGGATAGAAACAGGCTTGTTGTGAGAATTAAATGCATAAGTTCAAGGAAGTCCTCACTTCCTTGGAGCGCGGCTGGCACACAGTAAGTTGGGCTGCAAGAGTCTCCCTAAATGTGTTGACCCACAGCTGGGGCAATTCCCATCGTCCCATGGTGCCTTTCTGATGTTCTTCTCCAACAAGCATCTACCAAGGTTTTACCATCTGGGTTAAAATAGCATCACAGTAATCACGATACAGGGGATCCTCAGCCGCCTCGGCAGTCCGCCCCTGGGCTGGGACTCTGAAGGAATTCATGTGAGCTAATGGAAAGGCTACCAAGGTAGTTGGAGAAGGGACTGGCCCCTGCTGCCCTGGCTACCTACCAACCACCCAGCTCTAGCGGCGCCCCTGGCTGGGCCTCTCTTCCCACTAATGTCTCACAGTTCCCTGTTGGAGAAGGGACCTTCCCCACCCCTTTTTGGTCAAACATCCTTCTGAACCCTCACAGCCCTAAAGAATGTCTAGTGATAGCAACAGGCACAGTCCATTGTTTTGGTTTGGTTGGTTTTGTTTTTCCAATTTCGTGGGGCTAATCTTCCCCTCTCCCCCTCTTCCCTTCCTAATCTAGCTACTTCTGAGGACTCCTCTAGGAGTCTCTGGCGGCCACTAGACGACACAGGGCTCTCATCCACATGCTAGGCCCAAGCCCCCTTCATAGACTTGTTCCTCTGGCTAGCATGTGTGGTGGTTCCCTTTCAATTGCCCTGGGCCTGGGGCTCCCCCCGATCCGGTGACTACTACCATTCTACTATGACTGCATCCTGGTTCATACCTGGACCTTGCTATATTTTAATATTTCTGGTTAGCTTCAGCGTGAGTCCTTACTTATGGCGGAGAAAATGAGAAACCAAACAAGTCGATGCAAGCTTAGGCTGCAGCTGCCTATCTTCTGTGCTGCTCCTTTGACGTACTCATACATGACACTTTGATGTTCTTCCATAATTTTCAGAGACAGTGAATATAAATTCTTTGAAAGGGAGAACGACTAAATAAATAAAAAGCGGTGGTTTCAGCGCATGATTCATTAATCAGAAAGTGTTTTCTTGCCAAGAAATGCAGTCACTGATTTTTTTCCCCAAGGTGTTATGATACGAGTACATTAGGCCTGTGGAGAGACCAGAGACCTGGCACCAAGTTGCATTTGACGAACTGTGTTCCTCTTTCCGTTTCCGCTAATCAATTCATTTGTTAAAACTCAATCAATGTTAATGTGAGGGTTTTTTCCTAGTACAATAACATGATTTCATTTTTGGCTTCTTCAAATGCATATTAAATCATTCAATCAACTGCTGAATAAACTCAAAGAATATTATTTTGATTCTTCCTTACAATGAAAACAGAACTTTTTTTTTTTTTTCAAAGAATATGGGTCTTTGGAGGGTGTGAACCCAAAGTAGAGGCTACTGCGACAAGGATGCAAATCAACCTATTATGACCTTTAGGTTACTGAACTAGAGAACTCAGTGCTTCTAAACACTCAGTAATAGAACAACTAAAGAATTCAGACAAAACAAAAAAATCAATTTTGATTTGTAAAGACACAATAAGTCTACACAATGTAGGATGAACAATGAATTACTGACTGACTTTTTCCCCATTTTTCTACTGATTATTCGGTTGTTTCTATGGACTGGCCTTAACCCTTACTTTAGTTCCATCTCAGTTCGGAAATGTGGCATCAACCATAAGAAGCTCTCCGTGGTTTTACGGTGAATTACTCAGAGTGAAGGAGAAGGGAACCCTTCGCGGAGCGCACCTCTCCGCTCGGCATCCTGCGTGATTATCTTATTTAACCTTCATCACTAATCATAAGACAATCACGTATATCGTATCATCAGAATTGATGCTCACAGATATGTGACCCAACAAACATCGCCCACCCAGATACTGTAGGAACTGGACTTAAACCCACATTCTGTCAGAACTCAGAACTCATGCTTAAGCAGTAGTTATGTCTTTTCCGTACTTATACTTTTGAAGATTGACCCCTATTTTGCAGAGTTAGATAAAGTGTGACTGGAGAGTCGCTATCAATAGCTCGGGTGTTTCTCTGTGTTAATACGTCGGACAGGTCAAACCCCAGGTGAGGTATATCTCAGCCATTTCCTCAGTTGACCTCATGCTACCCAACGTCTTGAAGGTAGATCATTGCCGTGATTCTAACCACGGGGAGGGGCCTGCACCGAAGCAGCAGTCGTCTGTGCCATTTGCTGAAAGTCTCAGAGTCCCAGCTGCACACGTAGGTCACGTGGGCTTGTCAGGATATGCTGCCCCCCTTCACACCTGTGCCCAGATGTCCACCAGGATCACGGCATTAGGTTGGCATCTTCCTATCTTCTAGTTGGAAGAAATTTTAAGATTGTGGTTTTCAGTGTTTTCCTGGAAATATTTTATAGCAAAGAAGAATATGCTCCCAGGCATAAGTCAAACAGAAGCTCTAATTTAATCCTTATAAATTGGGTATTATTATTATTATTAGTCCAATGTTGCAGATAGAAACAGAGACAGAAACAAGTAAATACCTTGCCAAAACGTGGCTACATAGATGTTTCCGATCAGCATCTGTCTGACTCTAGAGCCGAGATTTCAACCACAACTGAGTATCGATGTGTTTATGGCTTCCACGGTGTTGTGATATGTATACTCGTAATGTGTTGGGATAAATATCACTTTACTAAAGGAATCCTGTTTTCTCACTGCTTTACACTAAAACATCAGGAATTCTGTCTTTTTTATTGTCACATAAGCACAGAGGTAGTCTTAGTCTTTCTCCAAGTAGTTGTTAGTGATCAATTAAACAAGCCTGTAATATTATTCCTACTAATGTAAATAATTGAATGAAATTAATAATTGCGCTGAATTTTTCTCACTTTGGAGAGGAAGTTTCTTAAGTATTCCCAGAAAAAAGTTAAAATTGGCCTGGAGTACATGCCATAGTTCCAACGATATCCTCTTGCAACTTTCTTCCTTTTTTTTTTTTTTTACTATTTCAAGTATCTTGTTAATTTTTGCTTTTCTCAGTACTGTGTACTATATCTTTACTCATTTTTTTCAATTCTTGGCTTTTCTTTGTCTCTCTATTAATAAAACAAAGAGATAGAAAGAAGGCCCGGGTTTTTTGAGGAGCTGTAAGTGGGGAAAATTGAGCAATAATATTTTCCGTGTGTATAGTGCATTTCTTCCAGGTATGTCTCACTCTGTCTGGCTTATCCCTGGTTTGTCTCTAATTAGGACCCTCCTTTTTATAGATTTTATTTTTTTATTTGAGAGAGAGAGAGAGAGAGAATGCACATGTGAGCATAAGTGAAGGGGGAGGGAGAGGGAATTGCAAGCAGATTTTGCCCTGAGAGCAGAACCCCACACCCAGTCCATCTCAGGATCCTGAGCTCTTGACCTGAGCCAAAACCAAAAGTCTGACCCTCAAGCTGCTTAACCGACTGAGCCACCCAGGTGCTCCAGGACCCCTTCCTGAGATAAGGGGATGGGAAACAGACACATGGATATTGAGCTGCTTGCCTCAGTTGATTGGTTGTAAAACCAAAACCAGATTTCAGTTATTTCTCAGATACGTCAGGATTTCTCTGCAAAATATTTTACATGAGGAGAGACTTGAAGAGAGAACAGGAGAGTCAACACAGCAGAGCGTGAGTACACAGGCACAGCGCTGGTGAGGGAGGGAGGAACCACAGCATGAAGGGCCGGCGGTACTTCTGCAGCTGTCACGTGCTACCTGTGTTTCCTTCACAATATATTCATCTGTTTCATTATGAATTTCCTTTTTTTAAAAGATATATTTATTTGAGAGAGAGTCAGTGAGAGACAGCATGAGAAGGAGGGAGAGGGAGAAGCAGGCTCCCTGATCGGCTGGGGGCTCTATCTATCCCTGAGCAGGGAGCCTAATGTGGGGCTCTATCCTAGCACCCTGGGATCATGACTTGAGCCACTCAGATGTCCCCATACCATGAATTTCAAAGTTATGATAGAAATAATAAATAGAAGAAATGATCTATAATGAGAGACTTATGGTGCCAAATCTAAAAAAAAATCTGGGAGAAATATTGTGCTCATAGAGAAATGCAAACCTGTAAGTGATAAAGAATGTA